CCTGTATGAACCTCTGTTCTTCAGAGTGGGTAGTCTTTAAGGGTTGAATATTCTTGTGGCAATGAAGAAACCACATAAGAACCATTTACTAAACTGCTGTATTACATAAACAATTGATGTCATTTTAGTTGCATTTGGGTAGTTACAACGTCCTTGTAGGATTTGATTCTGAATACAATTCCAAATGTACACTATAGTCCCTAAACATTCCCCTTTACAGCATTGGGGGTTGAATAATTTTGGACACAACTGTATATCTGAACTGTATTCAAGATCACTTATGCAACAATGGAACAGAAAAGTAATATAAAATGCAATATCCTGAAAATATATATATAAAATATATATATATACATAGGCAAATTCATTTTATCTAAAAATTTTTACAGTGCAATGATTTAAATGTCATGTTACAATTCATTCACTTTGGTACAGTATTCATCAAGGAAGCATGTACACAAATCAATCATCATCTATTTCAGGTCAAATCATTTTCTTCATTAGACTAGCGATACGTGGACAGATGTGCTTCATTAAAAACGCCGATGAGCTGAGTACACTGTGGTCATTCAGTACCTGAACAAATAACTTTTTTCTGCTGACTTCAATTTGTTTGGGAACACATGAGGTGAAAATATTGCCCCTGTTATGCTAAGGAAAAGGAAATAATGATTGAAGAGATCTCCACTAAGAATGACTTCTATCTAAAATGGCAGCATAAGGTAACACAATAGCCGTTTCAGATCATTCCTGTTCTCCCGGAATAAGCAATGAGTCCTACATAAGAGCTCCACTAAGTACGTCTGTATCTACAATGCAGCATATTATAACACCATAGTCATTTCTGATTGTTCTCTCCCTGGAAAAAGCAATGAATCTACATAAAAACTTTGCTAAGTACTGTTTGTAGCTAAACTGCAGTATATTATAACACTATAACTATAATCATTTTAATTCCTATGTCCCTTAACAGTGTGCGGCCCATGCCAGGTTTGCATTTTTGAGTTTCTTCAGCAGTTCTCTTCCACCCAGATTTTTTGATACATTGTAAAATAAGGTCAAGATGTTCTTTTAAACAATAGAACATTCCAAGTGCTCCATTAGCTTGAAGAAGTGTAGGAGCTGCAGATCTATCATATACATATATATCTGAACTGTATTCAAGATCACTTATGCAACAATGGAACAGAAAAGTAATATAAAATGCAATATCCCTCTCTTTCTCTGAATATATATATATATATATATATACATAGGCAAATTCATTTTAACTAAAAGCTTTTTACAGTGCAATGATTTAAATGCATTACAATTCATTCTTTGGTACAGTATTCATCAAAATGCATCAACCCCAAGAAACAGTGCATTACCAGAAATTTACTGTTCAAATGTCAAGTGTCACGACAAATGGGTACTCACAAAAGTAGAAGATAAAATGCGTTAAAAACCGCAAAATGATACAAGGTGTAGGAACCACGTGTCTCAACATGCAACCCCACTATGCTGGCAGGCTGATGCATTTTCCGGGTGGCTCTGAGGAAGGGGGTGTGCCCCCGAAATGCGTCAGTTTGCCTGCATAGCGGGGCTGCATGTTGGGACACGTGGTTCCTACACCTTGTATCATCTCGTGGGTTTTACCACATTTTTATCTTCTACTTTTGTGAGTACCCACTTGTCATGACACTTGTCTTTTGAATAATAAATCTCTGGTAATGCACTAGGTGCTTGTGCCCTCCTATTTGTTTCTTTTTGTAGTTGCATATTGGATCCCCCCATCTGAGGAGGGCTGCATCAACTATTCATTCCTGGTGGAGTCCATTTGTTGTCATCCTTGGCCCCATTTGACTGTGATGGATCTCTGAGTGCTGGGAGTGATTGTGATAGAGATGTGAAAATACCCTAACAGATTTATTGTACATTAAAGGAGAAGTACAGACAAAGCTTATTTGGCTGTACTTATGTGGATCACAGGAGTGCAATGTGTTCTGCAATCCTGTGACCCATTTTCAGCTGACAGCAGGCTGAAGCTCAACCAGTTCAGCCAATCTCTCCCCCTCCACATCCCAAAGCTCCCTCCAGTGAGCGCGGGGGGGGGGGGGGGGGGCAGAGCAGACAGCGGTGAATGACAGTCACCGCTCTCTGCTCACAGGTCATGTCGTCGCTGATTTCCCACACTTTGAGCTGACGGGGGACAGATGCAGAATCACCCACGTAAGCATAATTTGGGGGGGGGGGGGGGGGAAGCCAAACTTCTCTTTTAAGGCCAACTAATGAAACAATATGGTAGATTATCACCATGTAATATACTTACTTTCTTTGTCAGCCTCTGTATATCTAAAACCATATTGTCCTTTTGGTACATAGATACATAGTTAGTCTGGCTGAAGAAAGACAAAAGTCCATTTAGTTCAACCATAAAAAAAAAAAATTATAATCCTATACCCACAGTTGATCCAGAGGAAGACAAAAAAAAAACCCCTGCAAAGCATGATCCAATTTGCTCTTGCAGGGGAAAAGAATCCTTCCTGATCCCCTGAAAGGCAATCATATATTCCCTGGATCAATGTAAAGAGTGCCCCCTCCAGATGTAAAGAGTGCCCCCTTGTCCTCTGTGATGACCTCAGGGTGAATAACTCTACACCGAGTTCACTATATGAACCACTGATGTATTTATACATGTTGATCATATCCCCCCTTAATCTCCTCTTCTCAAGAGAGAATAAATTCAGTTCCTCTAATCTTTCCTCATAGCTGAGCTCCTCCATGCCTCTTATCAGTTTGGTTGCCCTTCTCTGTACTTTCTCCAGTTTCCCAATGTTCTTTTTGTGAATTGGTGCCCACAATTTAACTGCATATTCCAGATGAGGTGCAACTAATGATTTGTACAGGGGTCAAATGATATCTCTCTCTCTCTGGAGTTTATACCTCTTTTAATATAAGAGAGGATTTTGCTCGCTTCAGAAACAACAACTTGGCATTGCATGCCATTATTAAGCTTATGATCTACCAGAACTCCCAGATCCTTCTCCACCATTGATTCACCCAGTTGTACTCCCCCTAGTACGTATGATGCATGCATATTCTTAGCCCTCAAGTGCATAACCTTACATTTGTCAAAATTAAACCTCATTTGCCACATAGTTGCCCAATTAAACAGTGCATTGAGGTCGACTTGTAAGTTGGAGACATCCTGTAAGGACATTATTCCACTGCACAGCTTGGTGTCTTCTGCAAAGACTGAAATGGGATTTTTAATCCCAGACCCTATATAGTTTATAAATATATTAAAAAGTAAGGGTCCCAACACTGAACCTTGGGGTACACCACTGACAACCCTAGACCATTCAGAGTATGAATCATTAACCACTACTCTCTGAATAAGATCTTTTAGCTATTTTTCTATCCATTTACATATGGATTTTTTCAAGCCTGTAGACTTTACCTTAGACATTAGCCTTGTGGGGAACTGTGTCAAACACGTTTGCAAAATCCAAGTATATAACATCCACAGCCGCTCCTCTGTCCAAGGTTTTGCTCACCTCCTCATAAAAAGATATTAGATTTGTTTGACAACTTCTGTCTTTCATGAATCCATGCTGTCTGTTGCTTAAAATATTTTTTTCCAGCAAGAATCCATCTATGTGGTCTTTTATTAAACTCTCCAGTATCTTCCCAACTATAGAAGTTAAACTAACAGGTCTATAATTACTTGGTAAAGATTTTGACCCCTTTTTGTTGTTTTGAGGGGATTAGAACTTGGATAGGGTAAGGGGGTATAGGATGCCGAAGGGAATCAAAATCTGGGGACACCTTCCTGAACAATTCACAAGCTTTTTCCTTTTCTGATGCAACACAGTCTCTGTTGGAGTACTAGCCAGCAGTTCCTAGTTGTACTATCCCCCCATGCCCTAGATGAACTCCTCTTCACACAGCAATCTGGGGAGTTCTCTTCCTGGCTCCTGTCCCCTGAGTGAGGTGAACAGTCAATAGTAGGGGTTTCCCCTATCCACCCAGGGGGTGCAGGTGTGCTCACTCAGATCCTCTCAAGTATCACTTGCGGGATGGATTCTGCTACCAGTCCTATCAGCTGGGCCGCTCCTCCCCTGCCATACAGGTGGTCCTTGCTCAGGGGCCCAGTGAGTCCTGGGTTTTCCACCTTTCCAGCTCCAGGCTCGCAGGCAGGCCCCATCCCACTAGGCCTCCTGGCAGCCTTCTTCCTCCAGTCTCACATCTTCCTGCTCCACACTCTTCTCCCAGCACCACACTCCACACTCTTCTCCCGGCTACTGAGCAGGCTCTTACACTTTTAAGGAAGCCCCAGCCTCTTGCCAAGCCCTCTGTTGGGGACTGGCTGAGGTCCCTCAAGAGTGCAACCAGCTACTCATCAGATCCACCCACTGCCTCCAAGGCAATCCTCCGAAAGCCTCATAGCAGTGGTAATGTCATCTTAGAAATCCTTATCAGCCCTACATGGGTTAGCTTTGTAAACAACACTAGTTCTCTATAGATAGATACAGTACAGAGTGTGTGCATTGTCACCATAGGAAAGGACGTAACCAGGAAAAAATAAAGGAAAAAAAGGCAAACTAATGAAGCCACCTTATATAAGGACTAGTAAACTGCAAAATATTACATTGTTCTTTGCTGCAGACATACTTTAAGCTGTCAGGGTGTTTGGTAGCTACGAGCTTCACATTTCTATACTATCAGTGCTGCTAGAGCCAATACCAGGGGACAGGGACAGAATATTATAAAGTCATTTAACTGCTCCTTTATGGAGTTTATATATATATTATCATTAAGGGTTCATGTACACTGCAGCTGATAAACTGATGTACAGGAGCTTTTCTGCATTTTTTTCAGCAGCCCCTGAACTCTCCCTAATATATTCCTATGTGTCCATGTACGCTATGTCGTTTACAGTCATTTACAGGCAGTTGAGTTTAAAGGCGTCTTTTTGAATGCACCAAACTTGTGTTCAGGAGTAGATGTTATCAGCGTTTCAAACGCCAAATGCTTGTAAATGTGTTTAAACGCGGCTAACCGCATTTATAAGTGTTTGCGTTTAGAAGCGTTTTCTAACTGTTCCATGTCCAGATGCTGTCCAGAGCCTTTTTTCATCATCAGAAATGCATGCAAAGCGTTTTCCATGTATTCAAATGGACCTAGTACACCAGCACAGTCAGTTCCAGGTTTTGCGTGAAGAAAAAAATGGTAGAACGTGCCGCATTATGCTCATGATGGGATCCATAGTGAATACAACCAGAAAAGACAGGTAATCTCAACACATACTGCTCTCTATGCTTCTGCTCTCCCTATTTCTCTCAAAATGTCTGAAATAGTTAATTGTTTACTGTTTTTCAGTGCATTCTGGACATTTTGGAAGGTCTTCTGAGGTTACCTAAAAAATGCTTCTAAATGCAAACGCTCATAAATGCGCATAAAAGCGGTATGCAAATGCAGCTAAACAGACATTTTTTAATCAACGTTTTCCAGCAGTCAGTTTCCATCGTTCAGAAGTGTTTTCCAAATGTCCCGTGTACATGGAGCCTTAGATGTGTGTTCCTCTTTCTGTGGACACAGATTTTATCATGCTGGAAGTCCTTCTTTGGCAGAGTGTTCTCACTTCTCATTATGGTTCACTATTTTACATTGCTCAGTCCCTACACTTCCCTCCACCTTTAGTGATGCTAGGTTAGCTGCACTGCTGAATCTTGTAACGCAAGCATTACACCATCATTTGCTGTAAATTACAAGCAGCATTGTTTCAGTGTACCAGGACCGCTATCATGTTTTTTTTTGCATCTGATCAGATAGAATTTGCAATTCCTATTTAATAAAATGTAGCTTAGAAATAAGACGTGCCTTGTAAACATTCCTACCTAACAATTTCCTTTGAGTCTGCTCTGCGTTCTGTAATGTTACAAAAGTTACAGGATATAATTAGTGACAACTTCCTTTTTTCTCGTAAACCACAATCAAAACTACCATGAAAACTAAAAAAAAAAAAGTAAAACTTGTACTTGTTTCCCTATTTAATTAAAAGGCGTTCAGAAACATAATCACTTCATTTTCCAACATTCTTAGCTTATAACTGACAATGAGACCTAAGTTAAGTATGGAAAATCCCAATAATTAAATCTGAAGTTTCATTATTTACTTATATTTTGCCTTTCCTGGTTCCACCTTTAGCATAATTACATTTTTAAATAAAACCTGTTTTCATTACAAACCTTATTTTAGATATAGTGACCTCATTACTGGTTCTCTGTGCTCCTTTATACAATGTGGGCTAATCATGGCTGGTGCGCAGGACCTATAGGGCGCAGTACATAGCTTCTTGAAAACATCACAAAACCCTGACTCAATACTCCTCTCAAGAGTCCTCAGCCCTGATGAGAACAGTGGGCTTGCTCTTGGTAGGAATTCTGTAATTATCTTAAAAGCCTTAGTGTTACTAAACCCAGGACCCTGCATTCACTATATCCGGTCTCCCACAGTACTCAGAACACGGAAGTTAAATTATTTAGAAAATATAAACAGCTAAATACCTTTTCTCATCAGCAGTTAGAGCAATCTTGTGACTTCTATCAGTGTCCAACCGAGCACTGGTTAAAATGTGTAGGAGGAGTTTTCATTTTGGTCCAGGAGGATACAGGACCCCTGACCTCTGTCTGGACAGTGCTGATTGGCCCTGTGCTGATCACATTGCACTCTCCCAAGAAAAAAAAAACCTCTCTAGCAAGAAACACAAAACTGAGCATGTGCAGAGTGACTCCACACAATATGTCTTAACAGAAGATAAGAGGGGAACACTGGAAGAAGGGGAGGATCAGAGAAGTCAGGATCAAAGTGTTTTGACACAATGCAGAGGATTAACCCCTTAGGTTACACAGTGAGTATATCAAGCATGCTTTACTGCATATACAGACTGATTTTACTGTTGTGGGTTTAGTAACTCTTCAATGGATGGATGTCAGTCTGGAAAAGTGGGCATTCCTGGGCAGATTTCATTTGCATACATACTGCCTGAGGTAACACGCATATTTGATGCTGAGCCTCCATGATTAAAAAACTGACACAAGAGATCACAATTTGAACTATTTATATACCACAGTGTAAGCTTTGAACTCAGCCTGGTTGCGAAGTCAGCTTGTCACACTATATAATGCACCATACTCTGCAAAAACAAGACAAAACCACCAATTTTTCGAATAGAAATCTATCTGAAACTATAAGTAAAGTATGTGAAGGCCTACCAAATATACAGGGTTTCCTCTAGAACACCACAGAGTGAAGCTATATGTGACAGTCTAGTACAGAAGAATACAGTCCAGTGCATTGATTCTGCACACCTGCTGCAGGTAAGAATAGTAACACCTAGGTTATTAATAGAACCTTTTCAGAAGTCTGCTGAGTGAGATCTGGGGTAGCTGCTTCCATCTGAATAATTATGGTGACATATAGGTGAACTTTTTTCGGCATAGGCATTAGGGCCTTTCATTCCAGATTTTGGCACAGATATAGATTGATAGCTCTAGCAATGACAAAGTAAGCATAAATTCCAAAGGATTAAAGTGATACTAAACTCATGACACTAAATATACAATATTAGGTCTCCCACGGTACATAAAACATGGTAACGCATCTTACTTTAGTAAAGTAAAACCGCAAAATACCTTTTCTTGGCAGCGGTATACAACAGTCATGTGACTAGCTTCTGTGTCCGGCCAAGTGCTGGTTCAGCTTCTAGGGGGAGTTTTCATTCTTCTTCAAGTTTCCTCCATGCAGAGGCTACGTGACCCATGACTCTCTGTCTGGACAGCGCTGATTGGTTGTGTGCCGATCACTTGCACCCTCCACTAAAGCCTGTGTCCACATGCTTTTATAGGAGACATTGCCTCCATCATTTAAGATGTGACATCCTACCCACTGTGTACTTTTTAAGTTATTGGGCAATTGGGCATGGAGGAAGAGGGAGGAACTGGGCTGTCATTTAGGGTCTGTATACATGAACTAATGTGTGATGTCCATGTCATGTGACCTGAATAGCTCCAATCATAGAGGGAATGTTTTCTCTAGCAATACACACAAAACAGAGCATGTGCAGACTTACCACTGCTGCTCCATACAAACGGCAGATGGATTGGGGACAGTATAAGAAGAGGAGGATCAGAGAATCAGCCTTTTTACACACTGCGGAGGATTAACTCCTTAGGTTCCACAGCGAGTATAACATGGCTGCTTTACTGCATTAGCAGACTAATTTTAGTATAGTGGGTTTAGTAACACTTTAAAGTGTTACTAAACCCAGTACCCTGCATTCACTATATCTGGTCTCCAACAGTACACAGAACATGGAAATGCAATTATTTTAGTAAATATAGTTGCATAGTTGAAAAAAGACAAAAGTCCATCCAGTTCAACCATTAAAAAAAAAAAAAATTATAATCCTATACCCACAGTTGGTCCAGAAGAAGGCAAAAAAACACAGCAAAGCATGATCTAAATTGCTCCTGCAGGGGAAACAAATTCCTTCCTGATCCCCCGAGAGGCAATCGGATATTCCCTGGATCAACTTTACCTATAAATGTTAGTATCCAGTTACAGTGGGGATCGAAAGTTTGGGCACCCCAGCTAAAAATTTGTATTAATGTGCATAAAGAAGCCAAGGAAAGATGGAAAAATCTCCAAAAGGAATCAAATTACAGATTAGACATTCTTATAATATGTCAACAAAAGTTAGATTTTATTTCCATCATTTACATTTTCAAAATTACAGAAAACAAAAAAATGGCATCTGCAAAAGTTTGGGCACCCTGCAGAATTTATAGCATGCACTGCCCCCTTTGCCAAGCTGAGACCTGCCAGTGTCATGGATTGTTCTCAATCATCGTCTGGGAAGACCAGGTGATGTCAAGCTCAAAGGTTTTAAATGCCCAGACTCATCTGACCTTGCCCCAACAATCAGCACCATGGGTTCTTCTAAGCAGTTGTCTAGAAAACTGAAACTGAAAATAGTTGACGCTCACAAAGCTGGAGAAGGCTATAAGAAGATGGCAAAGCGTTTTTAGATGTCAATATCCTCTGTTCGGAATGTAATTAAGAAATGGCAGTCATCAGGAACAGTGGAAGTTAAAGCAAGATCTGGAAGACCAAGAAAAATATCAGACAGAACAGCTCGCAGGATTGTGAGAAAAACAATTCAAAACCCACGTTTGACTGCACGATCCCTCCAGAAAGATCTGGCAGACACTGGACTTGTGGTACACTATTCCACTATAAAGAGATACTTGTACAAATATGGTCTTCATGGAAGAGTCATCAAAAGAAAACCTCTTCTACGTCCTCACCACAAAAATCATCGTTTGAACTTTGCAAATGAACATAAAGACAAGCCTGATGCATTTTGGAAACAAGTTCTGTGGACCGATGAGGTTAAAATTTAACTTTTTGGCTGGAATGAGCAAAGGTACGCTTGGAGAAGAAGGGGCACAGAATTTAATGAAAAGAACTTCTGTCCAACTGTTAAGCATGGGGTTGGATCAATCATGCTTTGGGGTTGTGTTGCAGCCAGTGGCACAAGGAACATCTCACGAGTAGAAGGAAAAATGGATTCAATGAAATTTCAGCAAATTTTGGATGGTAACTTGATGCAATCTGTGAAAAAGCTGAAGTTAAAGAGAGGATGGCTTCTACAAATGGATAATGATCCTAAACACACCTCAAAATCCACGGGGGATTACATCAAGAGGCATAAACTGAAGGTTTTGCCATGGCCTTCACAATCTCCTGACCTCAACATAATTGAAAATCTATGGATAGACCTTAAAAGAGCAGTGCGTGACAGACAGCCCAGAAATCTCAAAGAACTGGAAGATTTTTGTAAGGAAGAATGGGCAAAGATACCTCAAACAAGAATTGAAAGACTCTTGGCTGGCTACAAAAAGCGTTTACAAGCTGTGATACTTGCCAAAGGGGGCAGTACAAGATATTAACTCTGCAGGGTGCCCAAACTTTTGCAGACGCCATTTTTTTGTTTTCTGTTATTTTGAAAGTGTAAATGATGGAAATAAAATCTAACTTTTGTTGACATATTATAAGAATGTCTAATCTGTAATTTGATGCCTTTTGGAGATTTTTCCATCTTTCCTTGGATTCTTTATGCACATTAATACAAATTTTTAGCTGGGGTGCCCAAACTTTCGATCCCCACTGTATATTCTGTGTATCTAAGAAAGAATCCAGGCCTTTTTTTGAAGCAATCCACTGAGCTGGCCAGAACCAACTCTTGAGGGAGTCTATTGCACATGTTCACAGCTCTCACTGTGAAGAAACCTTTCCGTGTTTGGAGATTAAATTTCTTTTCCTCCAGATGTAAAGAGTGCTCCCTTGTCCTCTGTGATGACCTCAGGATGAATAACTCTACACCGAGTTCACTATATGAACCACTGATGTATTTATACATGTTGATCATATCCCCCTTAATCTCCTCTTCTCAAGAGAGAATACATTCAGTTCCTCTAATCTTTCCTCATAGCTGATCTCCTCCATGCCTCTTATCAGTTTGGTTGCCCTTCTCTGTACTTTCTCCAGTTCCCCAATGTTTTTTTGTGAATTGGTGCCCCAAAAAAATATAAATGGCTTCATACTTTTTCTCATCAGCAGTATATAGCAGCTTTGTGACGTCTATCAGTGTCCAGCAAAGCCTTTTTTTTACAGCTTGTAGAAGGAGTTTTCATTCTCATGTAGGAGGATGCAGGACCTCTGACCTCTGTCTGGACAGTGCTGATTGGCCCCGAACTGATCACATGCACTCTCCCAAGAAGAGAAAACCCCTCTAACAATACACACCAAACTGAGCATGTGCAGCTTTCCCCCAAGGCTCTGTTCTATCAGCAGATGGATTGGGGACTGTGGAAGAAGAGGAGGATCAGAGAAGACAGGATCAAACAGCCTTTTTAGACAATGCAGTGGATTAACCCCTAGGTTCCACAGTGAGTATAACAAGCATGCTTTACTGCATATACAGACTGATTTTACTGTTGTGGGTTTAGTAACACTTTAATTAATAAGGAGTAAACTAGATTAGTGTTGGGGCTTTAGTTGCCCCCACTAGGCTAGATTGCTGTGACAGCAGTATCACAGGTTGGCATGACATGGAGCAGACTGTAACACCCACTCCCTTTGAGTGACATTTGTGCCTGTATACAATTGGAATGACAGGCAGGTTCTTTCCTCCTCTATCATTGCCCAATTTGCCTCTGTCAGACCTGCGCAGACTACATCTCTTTCAGAGCCCCTTCACAACAGAATGCACCTGCCTTTTTATTTTTTTGTGTTGAAAACCATAAAGAATTACCACCATCTTTGTGCCAGAAGTCATCATACTCCTGAAATACACACATGTAATAACTACATTTGACCTACCTATTAAACACTCTTCTCCTTGCTGCCTCCATCCAGAGCAACATGTAAAGCTTGAAGACCTGTATATAAAACAGCAAGAAAAAGACATTTAACTTAATAATTAAACAATAGAAAATAGAAACAAAATACACCATATTTCTAGTTTTCACTGAAAAAAAATGAACCTTGAAACATATAAATATAATGATGCTAGGAAAGAAAAAAGCTACAATGGATTAAAAATGAGTGGGCATGGGTTTTTATTATATTCCTTGACTAGCAACTGTACAATCTATAAAGCTAGACATATTATTCCTTACCGCGCATTATCAGGCTGACAGGTTGCAGGAAGGGGTCAGGACTTTATGATGCCCCAAGCTTCTCATTTTGGTCATGAATTACATTATTTTTAAAATATATTTTAAATGTCAAATAATGATGATGGTGAGTATGATCTATTCAACCTTTCACCCCTTCACATTACTTTCTGTTTTTCAAAGAAGCATATTATTGCTAGCGGTATTTATTTTGCTCTCCTTACCTTCCCAACCATGCATACGTATAAATAAGAGAAAATCAATTTGAATAAAATACAATTTTACTTAACGTGTTACTAAACCCAGGACCGTGCATTCACTATATCTGGTCTCCCACAGTACACAGGACATTGGAAATGCAACTATTTTAGTAAATATAAACTGCTAAATACCTTTTCTCATCTGCAGTATATAGCAGTCTTGTGACTTCTATCAGTGTCCAGCTGAGCACTGGTTATAGCTTGTATGAGGAGTTTTCATTCTCCTCTGACTGTCCTATGAGGCT